CCAAGTCCTACCCTTCCACCAAGACTGGGCTCAGCTTCTCCCCCCTGCCGTCTCTGAGCCTGTGGTTCTCACCGCTCATCTGGCCCAAAGCAGTTGGCCTGGAGCATACTTGTCTTGTTTTATGTGGGTTTGGCTTGTTTCACCGGCTAGCCCAGGGTGGAACTTGTCTCTTGCATCTTAGAATCATGATCCTATACTCTCAGGGATCGTAACTGTCTTCTGGCCTGGGCTGAAATTCCTTCTGCAAACATCCTATTGTGTTCCTGCTTGCACGCCTCCAGTGACAGGCAAATTCCCACCTCCCGATGCTGTCTGCTCTACCTGCAGAGAGATCTTCCTCCTACTGAGATAGAATCTGCCCCTCTGACTCTCTAGTTCTGCCTCCCAGACCCCCAAAGACTGAGGCCCACCTCTCATCCACAGAAGCTCCTCGAACATTTACCTTTTCTCAAGGTCTAACTCAAATGTCACTTCTTCCATGAAGCCTTTCTGGATTTCCTGGGACTCCTCTAGGCCACCCCCTCTCCCAGTCTTGTCAGCTTCCTCCATTACTGCATCTCTGTTTACACACGGGCTGCCTCCCCACTGGACAAAACATGGCATGAGTAGCAAGAAGGAAAATTAAACCTCATAAACGTGCACGAATTACAAGGGTTGATCAATCCAAGATAGCAAATTCTGAATAAGAGAATATACAGTTTTTAAAATTTGCATTCCCACAGTCCTCTTACTTGATGTTTTTTTTTTTTTTTTTTTTTTTTTATTTTTTTGCTGGAGCCTCCCACTGGCCCTAGGTAGTAAGTAGGGCAGGGATGTTTCTCCCCATTTTTCAGCCAGGGAAACCAAGAGTCAGAGAAATGAAGTGCCTGGCCCAGGAACCACATCTGACCCCAATCACACGCAGGGCATTCTGCGTTCCAGATTCTTTGATCTAGGTTCAAAGATCTGGGAGATGGCTGTTTGGGAGCAAGCAGCAGGCCAGCAGGCCTTGGCAGGGGGCTTTGCCAGTTCCAAGTCCAGGGGGCCGGTCTGGGGCGCAGATAAGACCACACGAAGCTGTTTGTCGTTTGCATGGAGAAAGGCCGCCAAGGGTTTTTCAAAAACAATCCTCCAGTGACTGACTCTGTCCCCTCCCTCCCCCGGACACGTCTGCCCTCCTGCCTTGGCCCCAGCAAACTTGGAGCAGGATCAACCCCTAACCCCAAGGTCCAGGGTCCCGGAGGCGCCTCAGTCACCTGGGCAGCTTTTTACAAGACCTACAGGTCTGGGTCCCTCCCCAGACCAAATAAAGCAAGAATTCTTGGGTGAGACCCCACATCAGAATTGTTTCAAGTTCCCGGGTAACTCCAATTATGCAACCAGGGCTGAAAATCCCTGTTGCAAACCGTCTTCAGTTCCGAAATAAGAAAACAAACAAACAAACAAAAAATCACCCAAAACCAAAATAATAAAAATTTCTGGGGATTTTGGGCAGCTGGTCCCAATTATAACTGATGTAATTTCTCTCTCTCTTGTGGCAGCTGATCTTCAAAGCTACTTTTGACCCATCTTAAATGGGTCTAAACAACTTTTGCCATCACAGAGGTTTCCCGGGATGCCCCTTCCTTGTCTCCCCTGGCAACACGGTTCTTTGGAACTGGGGAACGCATGAGGGTAATATCTTCTTGGGGTGGGGGGAAGCTGGGTTCCCTCAGGACAGCCAGGCAGGTGTGTGCGTGTGTGCGCATATGTGTTTGGGTGGGGGGACCCTCCCACGTCCCATCTCTCTAGACTTCCTTTGGGAGGCTCTGGGCACAAACCCCAGAAGACATCATCAATTCACACACCCCTTATTTGGACCCAGCTACTCTACCACCTGGGACAGAGCTGAGATTTATGTTTGCAAAGAAAGAACAGGACCAGCGGAGCATTTAGCCCGGTCATCGAGGATGCATTCTTCTTAGGGCAGGCCCACCCCAGAGTACTTGGCCCCCAGCCTGCCCCTCCCCAAATGCTGCTCAGAACCTGGATCTTTGGCCACCTCATCTCTGGCCCAGGGCAGAGAGCTGGCTGGTACTAATCCCCCTGGGGCTGCCTTAGCCTGTATGAGCCTCAGTCTCCCCATTAGAAAAGCGTCAATAAAAAAAATCCTCTGCTCCCAGGGTTCCTGTGGGGACTAACCATCATGCTCTAGGTGGGAGCTCTCTCTGGGAAGGCAGATGTTCGGGGGCCAAACTCCAGGGAGGAGGATCAGACAGGAGCAGCGCTGCTACTCTCGGGCACGGGGGCAGCTGCTCCTCTGGGATTGTCTCGCTGCCCCCCACGGGCCCCATCTGAGGGTGCACACCATCCCTTGGCCTCACCCAGACCCAGGAGTTGACCTCTGCAGGAAGCCCCTGCTCCCAGCGGTCCTGCCCAGCTGGTCAATCTCATGGAGAGAGCTGTTGCTCCTGCCCAGCCCCCTGCTCCAGCCCTCCGGCCTGGCCCTGCTGCAACCGGTGCACCTCCCCACACTGGCTGCCACTGAAGGGCCGGTTCTCATGGCGAGGAAGACTCTCCCGGAAACCAGACCCCACCCAGGCTACCCCACCAAAGGCTCGTGAGGCTGCCTGCACCTCTCTTTTCCCGTGGCCAGGAGCACCGTCAGGGACCCCTGGTAGGCCACTCCCAGGGTCCCCCAAGGTGCTAGCAGCCCCGGGTGGTGCGCCCTCGGGACCCAAGGCAGGGAACATGCCAGGTGGTCCGGGAGTGCCCCGAGGTCCACTCAAGCCCCTGCCACTCACCACTCTCCCTCTGCTAGGAGACGGATACCTTCCCCAGCTTCCTTGTGCTCGCTTGTGTTCCATACCACACATACGCACACACACTCACATGCACAGTGACAAACCACACCCAGTGACACACCTGGACACCAGATCTCCCACGTATACATGCCTGTTGGGTGGCAGACTTTTACACATGCTAACAGGCACTTTCACGTACCTACAACACCCCTCCTCCCAAACACACACACACACACACACACACACACACACACCTGTCCAAGGATGAACCTGTGAACATTCATCCCCTCGCAGAAACCTCCTCCTCTATTTGGTGACACGTCTGGGCATATACACAACATGCACACCTGTGCAAGAGCATGTAACACACTCACACATACACACTCACACACCTACACGCATGCTCCCAGCCCTCCTCACCAGGGACAGACCACAGAGGCAGCTTTCCAACTCGCAACCCTATAATCAACTTAACCCTGCCTTTGCTCCGAGCGCGTCCTGACTTCCCAGGGGACAAGGAACCCGTAGTCAGAGAGCTCACTGCCGCTGAGCTGGCCTCCAGCCCAGATCCCCTGCCCCCAGGGCACACGCGCACACCCGGCAGGTCCACAGGTGTGCAAACTGCTGGTGCCCACAGACCTGACGGGACCTCGTCGGCCCTTCCCCAGCATGCTCGCGACCCCCACACCGGGAGATCCCCCAGGACAGAGCAGGGCCCATCAGCCCTCTTGGGGCAGCAGAAGCCGGTGCTGGTTTGGGGCCACCCTGAGTCGTGGGGCGATCGTGTGACAGGTTTCTGCTCAGCACAGCTGGCTCCCGGGAGGGGCAGTTCCAAGGATCCAGTGGCTGAGGGGCTCCTGCCTGGGACCCCCCTGGAGGATGCTGGGGGTGAAGAGCTTCCTCTCGTCCGTCCGTCGGTCCAGCCACCTGAGCGGGAGGCCCGAGGACTGTGGGCACGTCAGGGAACAGGGTGAGGCCTACCTCCGGGCTGCGAGGGGTGGAGGATACACAGCAGAAGCAGGAGGGCTCCGGGCCGCAGGGCTGCAGCTGTCGGACCCGCCATCTCGGGGAGAAATGCCCCAGACCGCTCTCTGCACCTCGTTTTATCCCCAAAGCGTAATTGCTGCCTTGTCGGTCT